CGCCCGCGGCGGCTGCGGGCGGCGGCGTGGCCGCGGCGGCGGCGGCGGCGGCGGGCGGGGGGTTCGGCCTCAGCTCTGTGCTGCGGTGACCCGAGGCTCGCTCTCCCACCAAATCAGGACGGCAAGGATCAACGAACTCTCAATCAACCGTTGCAATACCCACCGCGATTGAAAGTGTGTGCGCCTGGCGATATTTTTGGCGGTTGGTGTGATTGGGAGCGCCTCACAGACCCGGTGCCTGGGATCGGCGCAAGCCAGGATTGGGGCGCCCGCGTTGCACCGCCAGCAGGCGCGCGGCTTCAGGCTCTTTTTGCCTTGTCAGCTGCAGCTGCCCATCGGGCCTGGGCAGCAAGCAACAGCCCCCTTGATGGGCGTTCGTACACGCAGATGCGGCCTGAGATACCCACAGGACAGCAGTAACGCATCTGGTATCCACGCTTTGTGGTGGAACAGCTGCCACTGTGCCTTCTGGAGGCGCCTTTGCCAAATCCTGCGGCGGCTGACTGCTGCCGCGCTCAGCGCACATGCATCTTGCACGTCGCGTGCATGTGTTCCCGGAGCCGACAAAATCCTGTTACTTCAAAACAACACCGGCAAGTCGCTGGTCAAACGGCGCATGCATCTCGAGGCTGGCTGCGCGCTCCCAGGCACCCCTGGTGGGGCCGACCTGGGAGTGCTGTGCAGTATCAAAGGGAGGGGGCGGACGCAACGGCGGCACGGCAATCGGCGATGGCGACAGCACCGCCATCAGATGGATAGGTTTCGTGGGGTGGCAGGATGGTAAGTCTGTGGTGTGGCTGGCCACAATGGGTTCCTGGAAGATCAAGCGCAAATGGTGGTACTTTCGTGGGAGCCAGCCAACATCACAATTAATAAAACAACACAAACAGGCCCTCTCACGACAAGCTATCATTAGCGGATGGCAGAGTCAAGGCCTCCAGATGATTGGCAAAGGCGACAGACGATGCATGGTGGTAAAGTTTGCAGTTCGCTGTCGCAAGTATGCTCCTCTGTGAGTGTTGGCCCTTCAAGGGCCTTCACAACCCACCTCGATTATCCGCCGGCGAAGCGGTGGGCGGCCTGATGGTATGCAAGCAGCTGGCGCTGGCAAGCGGGGATGTCTCTCACACTGCTGCTGTTCCAGCGGGCGCGCTCGCTAATCAATCAGTGCAGGGTGCGCGCGCGTAGGGTTCAGGGAAACCGGAAGGTGAGTCTTGATCAGGGTGAGCCAAAGCGCAATCTGGTGCAGGGACGTACGGGTTGTATGTGCTCAGCAGGTGCCATCAAAGGATTGATGTACAAAGCAGTGCGCGCTGACGCAAGGTATGACCATGCACGAGGCGCCGCCAACGAGCCGCGGTGCAGCCTTGGCGCGGGCAGCTTTGGGGTCGAATCGAAACCGAATCGGCAAGCAAGCGGTGAAAGGGTGGCCCAAAGGGCAGGGGCGTATCCTGGGCAAAGCTGTGTGCTGACGTCAGCGGCGGGCTGGCGGCCCGGGGAGGGCGGTCCCTCCCAGGTGACACCACGCCCACCTGAGCAGCCGCGGCGACAAGAGATTGTTGTGGGCACCGGTCCATACTTAGAGGCGAGGGGCACCTGGCAATCTCCTCGCGAATGCGGATGACTCGCACTGTTTTATGTAAGTGGGTGCAACCACGGGCGTGCGGGCCGCTTGGGCGACCGGCGGGCGGCACTGCCCAGGCTGCATTCAAGACAACAACGAGGTCCAAGGCAAAGCAGCAAGCTCTCACTCGTCAAAGCACCGGCTGGGAGGGGGGGAAGGTGGCTAGCAACAGGCCGGGCCTGGCGGCAGGCCGGCCGCGCATGCAAGATGAGACGAGCCCGCACTCTGGGAAGTGATGGGATAATAACGGCGCCAGCGGCAGAGGACCGATAAGGGGGCCAATGCGGGATGCAGCGCCGTGCAAGGTGGGTACGTCGTTCGTTTGGCGAGGCCACTGGGGTTGTTCATGCCCCATTGGGAATGGTGGGGGTGGTTAGACAGGCGCGCAAGGAGGTTGATTCCTTTTGCGGCGGGCCTGGAAGGGGCCCATAAAAGGGGAGTGCACAAAAGATTCAAAGGCAGCAAGCCGGCGAACGAGTAATCAACATGCTTAAAGCCAACCACAGGCACACACGCACACACTGGACCAGCACGCGCACACTGGACCAGCTGCCAGGCAGGCCTGGCCTCAGCTCGTGCTCGCACACTAGACTCTGGCTGCAACAACACTAGCAAAGTCAATCATCCTCATCGGCAGCCGCCGGCAGAGCAGCCGCGGCGGCGAGCGCGCACAGGCCCGCTGCTGATACAGCCACGCCACCCGCAGCGCGTGATTGCCGGCCACAGCACGGGCAGGCCGACGAGGCCGGTTGCAGCCATACACCATGCCATGACACACACCACATGCCAGCCAGCGGCGCGCCCAAAGCCGGTATCCCGCCCGTTGAATGCCATGGCTGTTGCTTAGACGGCCGCTGCGAGCCACAGGGGCCAGGGCAGGGGGCAGGAGGGGGCTCGCTTGACGCTCAGCAGTGGCGGGAACACATTGATCCTCTGAGCCAGGGGCCGTGGTCGAGCAAAAGGAGGAGGAAAGGGGATGGCACGTCAGCAGGTGGGGATTTTGCCAAGGATTGGCAATAGGACGGTTGTCGCCAGCACCAAGGTTGGCGGGTGAGGTCCTAGTGGCAATAACAACCTCGTTTGCTCAGGAATCCAGCGCGAGGTGTCTGTGGAACCTTCCCTGTCCGCAACGTGTGTGCGCGCACCACAGCACATGCGACGCCCACGCAGCTTGCATATGCCGACAGCACACGAGCGGTCGCATCTCACCTCTTCCCGCATCAGCAGCAGAGCAGCAGGGCCAGGACGCAGAGTAGGGCGGCCGCCATGCAGCACACCAGAGGCGCCAGCTGGCGCGGCGCTGCCATCACGGCGAAGCCAGGCATGAGGAGCGCGGCAGCCTCCAGAGCGAGCAGAGGCACAGCCAGCCGCCGGAAGCTTCTGAATTTCAAGACTGAAAAGCCGACCTCGTCAGATGGGTCTGTGAAGCCGGACAGGCAGGCGCGCAGGAGCCCGAGCCGCTCGCCCGGCCGCGTGCGCAGACGCAGCGAAGCCGCGCCCGGCGCCGGCGGCAGGGCGGCGGCCGGGATGCCCGCGCCGGCCCCCGCCGCGCCGTTGCCGGCCAGAGCCGGGCTCGGCCCGACTGAGGCCGCAGGGGGGCGTGGCCCGAGGAGCGCCGCCAGATCTGCCACAAGAGTCTCGGGCGTCGTCGAGGGTGCAGCAGGCGGGAAGGCCGGACCTCTGATTCCGCGAGGGAATGGTGCATCATCGTCGTCGCTGTCATCATCACCGCCGCCGCCGCCGGGGCCGCCGCCCAGCGGGCGCAGCCACGAGATTCTTGGCGGCCCGACGGGCGGCGGCGCAGGCGGCGGCGTGGCGTAGGGGTCTGGCCCCCGCCCCGGCTGCGCCGCTGCCGCCGCCGCCGCCCTCGGCGATGCGGCCGGCGACCCCTCCGAGCCCCCAACGACGCTGGTCTGGCGGCCGCGGCCGTGGCTACCAGCACTGCCCCAGAGCTGCCCGCCGTCCGGGCCCAGCACAGCCGCGTCTGCCGCCGGCAGCAGCAGCCGCGCGCAGTGCGGCATCCCGCAGGACAGCGCAGACGGCAGCAGCGCCGCAGCGAGGCCGGCGGCGTCGCCGCCGGCGCGCAGCGCGGGCGCATTTGCGCAGCCCTTGGCGTGGGGCGGCGCGCGGGAGCAAG